CAACGGTGACAACAAAGCAACTCGCTGTTCGTTTCGTCATGGGTGATGCCGACAAAGCACAACGAAATGCAGTGGATGCAGTTCTTGGAGTGGACAACGAGCTGGTCAACTTGATGTGCTACTACCATGGTGCTGCTAAGATCTACAAACACACTCGAGGTATCTCAATCGGTCTGGCTGCTCGGGTCTTTCGCGATATTGCCGACATGCACTACGCTACATCTGCTGACGAACTCTCCCATATTCAGAAGCGCTGCTTGGAGGAGTGGCAGACACTACAGCAGCTCTGCGCATTCGCTAGCTACTTTTCCGCAACGTGGTTGAACTCTCCTTTCCATCGCTGGCAAGCTTTCTTCACACCCAAAGGATTCGCCGCGACTAACAATCCAGTCGAACAGTTCAATCGCGCTATTAAACGCGACTACACTCTCCGCGCCCGCCTGAAAATGGGCACGCTTATCGACCAGCTTTTGCTCTGCGTACGATCCGATGGAATCCGTAGCCGCCCGTTCGCCACTGCTGTTCAACCACGTGCAGATGTGCTCCGTCGAGTGCGTGAGATGCGGAAAGCAGGCTCGATACGCGAGGTGTCACCAGAGAAGCACTCCATCGGGTTCCTTACGGGGGCAATGACGCCGGCTACCAATACCAATGTCGTCCACATCGTGTCCGACCGAATGGAACGTGTGTACGACCCACAGGACAGGCGCACCAAAGAGACACTTCCAGTGACCGCATGCGTATCGACGCAAAAGGCGCGCATGGAGACTGCAGGGATGCCAGGTAGCGGGTGGGAAGTCAATGTCGACTTGAAGATATGCGGCTGCCGCATATTCTTCAAGTCGGGCTACTGTATCCATCTTATTTACGCGCTCTCGGTACGGAACCGCCTGGACATCTTTTGCCGGACTCGACTCTTGTACAGGGGCCGCAACAAAGCGCGCCGTGCGCAAACTGAGCAGCAAAACGCTGGAAGACCTGCAAACAATGGCAGAGCACTGCAGTTAGATTAGTTTCCGTTAACACCAATCACACATCCAGTGACTCGTACCTCCATGGTTGGAACGGCCCCCTCCCACCCACCCGCCGACCGCCACCATTTCCTACTCCGTGCACTACTCAGCACACGCCGCACGCCATCCCGCAATAATGTCCCACCACCGCTTGCTGCGGCTCGCCCCGCGCGATCATCAACCCAACGCGGCGTGTGTTGCTGTCCGTGCGTCGCTCACTTACGGGTTTCTCCTATTATAATAGCGAGAATTCTGGCCGCCCTTTCGGGTTCATATCACTTCAGGAAACAGGAACTGTGCAGCTGGAGGCGGTGGAGCGGCGAGCTCTGGATGTAAGGCAGCGAATGGCGCGCTTGCTGCTTGTGGGAGTGGTCTGTGTCCTTCAGGACAGCCGCGAGAACGTCCTCCGCGCGACTCGTGCCGGTGGCGCCTGAGGGGGCAGGATTTCCAAAATGGCAAAAGGTGTGGTGCACATATCTGGAGTGGTGGGCACATCTGGAGTGGTTTCCGACGCGCCCAGTCTCCCCTCCCACCAAATCTAGGTGCCACCGAACAATCGTTGGTGCTGAGCACCAATTCTTAGGGCCGTTCCGAACCGGGATCGGATCGGGGCGCGGGGCGCGAGGAAAAGGGGAGGTTAGGTGATGCCCTGGGGAAGTACTTTTGGCCGTTCCGAACCGGATCGCGATCTGACCAGGTCTC